TGTAACAAAGAGGTGTGTGTGTGTGTGTCGGTATATCTGCATGCGTACATGCATTCATATATATATATATATATATATATATATATATATATATAGGCCGGTGCACCCACCATGAACACCCCTTTTCTCTTGGAAGATGCCAAGAAAAAAGGGGGGCGGGTGCGGTTGGAGTTTCGGGTGTCGCGTCGTGTTGTGGTGGTAGGATCTGGAGTACATGTGTGTGTGAGTTGGAGACGGAGGGAGCCTGTTGAGTATCGGGTGTTGTGTTGGAGAAGGAGGCTGTTGAGTACTGGGTGTTGTGTTCGAGACGGAGGGAGTTGAGTAGAAGGTTATTTTCAAGTTCAGCTTGGGGAGGGAGCCTGTTGAGTATCGGGTGTTGTGTTGGAGAAGGAGGCTGTTGAGTACTGGGTGTTGTGTTGGAGACGGAGGGAGTTGAGTAGAAGGGAGCCCAAAAAGTCTTCCAAAAAAGAGCCTCAAAAGTGAGTCCGAAAATCGTAGGAATCATATATAAATTCATAATCATGAGAAAGGGGGGTTCTTGGTGCAGCTTGGGGAGGGAGCCTGTTGAGTATCGGGTGTTGTGTTGGAGAAGGAGGCTGTTGAGTACTGGGTGTTGTGTTGGAGACGGAGGGAGTTGAGTAGAAGGTTCTTTTCAAGTTCAGCTTGGGGAGGGAGCCTGTTGAGTATCGGTGTTGTGTTGGAGAAGGAGGCTGTTGAGTACTGGGTGTTGTGTTGGAGACGGAGGGAGTTGAGTATAAGGTTCTTTTCAAGTTCAGCTTGGGGAGGGAGCCTGTTGAGTATCGGGTGTTGTGTTGGAGAAGGAGGCTGTTGAGTACTGGGTGTTGTGTTGGAGACGGAGGGAGTTGAGTAGAAGGTTCTTTTCAAGTTCAGCTTGGGGAGGGAGCCTGTTGAGTATCGGGTGTTGTGTTGGAGAAGGAGGCTGTTGAGTAATGGGTGTTGTGTTGGAGACGGAGGGAGTTGAGTAGAAGGGAGCCCAAAAAGTCTTCCAAAAAAGAGCCTCAAAAGTGAGTCCGAAAATCGTAGGAATCATATATAAAATCATATAATCATGAGAAAGGGGGGTTCTTGGTGGGTGCACAGGGCTATATATAGACAAGACTGCATTGGCGCTTCGCGCCGATGCAGTCTTGTTCCGGACGCTTCTCGGAAAAACAATAGTCATCGCGTGTTTCAGCAGAGGGGGCGCCGAGACCACGAATACGACCACGATCGCGAGGACCACCACCAGCACCACCACCACCACAACCACCACCACGACGACGACGACGACGACGCCGACGACAACGACAACGACGACGACGACGACGACGATGGGGCTCTCGTCTGAACTGCAGATGAGGCGCTCGTCTCTCGAGGGCCTCTGGAAGCTCCCGATGGGACCAGAAGCGCTCAGAAACTTGGCCCTTCCTCGTCGTCCTCCTCCTCCTCCTGCTCCTCCTGTTCCTCCTTTTGGGCAGGCCGCGGGAGCGAGCGCTCGGGGCGTCAGTAAGCGGGCTACGCAATAATGAGACGGCAGCCCGCGATGACAGGCCGAGACCTGCTCCTCCGTAGGACGACGACGACGACGACGACGACGACGACGACGACGACGACGACGACGACGACGACGGCGGCGGCGACGACGATTGGGCGCTTCCTGAATGCCTGGAGGGGTCCTGGACGCTTGTGGGGCTTCTGAGGTCCCTTCGAACCGCCGTCCTGCGAACTACGGTTTCGTGGAGTGTAATAGAACTGCTGGCAGCTATATTGGAACGGTGTGGGCTCGCGTTTGAGCTCCTGGTGATTCTCCGGACCAGAGGGCTCCTTTGGGGGCTGCTTTGCGCCGTCTTGGAGCCCTCTTGGGCCGTCCCGGAACCCTCTTTTGGCCGTTTTGGGAGGCCTGGCCGGTCAGGGGCTTTTCGGGGGCCCTCTTGGGACACTCTTCGGGGCCTCCTGTGGCTCTCTTGGGACTCTCTCGAGAGTTCTCGGGGCCCTCTGGGGCCCTTCTTGGGCCGCCTTGGGCTTCTCTTGATCCGTCTTGGAGCTCTTTTGGATCGCCTTGGGCCGCTCATAGAGGCCTCGGAGGCCGTCTTGGGGCGATATTGAGAGTCTCTGGGGATGCCGTGGACGCTGCGAAAGCGGAAAAAGCGGATATCTTCAAAAGCGTACGTTTCTTCAGGGAACGGGACGATGTTTGGCTCTTGGGGGTCCCTTTTGGGGCCTCTTGGACCGTCTTGGGGGCCTCGAGGGCCGTCTTGAAACCATAGTGGGTCCTCTTTGAGCGCTGATGGGCCGTCTTGGGGCCCGTTTTGCGCCCGTGGGCTCCGATCGGCAGGGGCGCCCAACTGCCCAGAAGGCCGCCAGGACTCCGAAAGGGCGTCCAAGGCGTTCGTTGGGTGGAAGGCAGGGGCGTCTGGGATGTCCTGGGTGGTGGTGGTCCGGTTTAGTGGGGTGGGGGTGGGTGGGGGGGGGGGGGTCCGGGTAATAAGAATGTATGAATATATATATATATATATATACACACACATACGTACATACATACATACATGCATGCATGCATGCATGCATGCATGCATGCATGCATGCATGCATGCATACATACATACATACATACATACATACATACATACATACATGCACACATACATACATACATACACACATACATACATACATACATACATACATACATACATACATACATACATACATGCATACATGCATGCATGCATGCATGCATGCATACATATAGACATACAAACATATATATATATATATATATATACATACATACATACATACATACATACAGACAGACAGACAGACAGACAGACAGAAATACATACATACATACATACATATACGCATACATGCATACATATGTACATACATACATGCATGCATGCATACATACATGTTTATATATAACATGTGTACATATATATATATGTATATATGTCCACGCCCATCCATCAACATATACATACATACATACATACATACATACATACATACATGCATGCATGCATATGTATATATTTACATATATATATATATATATATATATATATATATGTATGTGCAAACATACACATGCATACATACACGAAGGTAATGCGTATACAGTACCGAGCAGTGATTCTAGGAGTTCTTATTCCGCGTAGGGGTGATTGGGTGCGTGTGCCGAGGCTTCGCCGCGCTGCCGCCCGGGCTCGAGGCTCGAGAACGGGCCCAGAGGCCAAGATGGAGAAATTCTCTTTCATCTCAGGATTCTGCGCTCGAGGTTCCGAGTGGGCTGATCGATGTAACCCCGCGACGGTCCAGGACGAGGGCTCACCCTGCCGGAGCAGGTGCCACCGCCACGTGGTCCTCCGCCGGCGCCCGCCCATGCCTACAGAGACCCGTGGAGGGTGGCTACGGTCTACGCGGCGTGACAAACAGTTCCAGCCTTCCCGCATGCTTGTCTCTTGGAAATGTGGGGCCTTCGTAGTTTCCTCCGTGTCCCCCGTCGCACGGACTCTCAAACATTGCAGGGGGGCGACCGTCGCCTCAGTGGCCCCGGTCTCGCAGCTCCTCTGCCCGTGGCGCGTGGCCCAGTCTCCGTGGCGTGGCGTGCGGCTGCGTGGCGCGCGCGGGGCCCGCAGCGCGTGGCTTCGCGGCTCCGTGGCTCGCGGCCCGGTGATGCCCCTGTCTGCCCCCGTGGCACCTGGTCTCGCGGCGCTCGGCGCCCCTCCGCGGCGGCGCTGCGGCCCCATCCAGGCCCGCGGCGCGCGCGCGCGCGACTGCGGCCGTGGCCAGGCGGCCGCCGCGGCCGCCGCCGCGGCACGTGCGCGCCGCGGTGGGCCGTCTCGAGGCGCGGGCGCCGCGGCTGCGGCCGCCGCGCCCCGCCGCGCCGTGGCTCGTGCACGGCGGGCCTGGGCCCCCCCCCCCCCCCTGGGGTCGACCAGCAGGGAGGGGGGGGCGCGACTCGAGGCTCCGGGCTCGAGCAGATTGAATTCTGTGTCTTGCGAAGGCCCTGCGGCCAGTGCCGCCGACCCTGAATGGCGACGACGACGACGACGACGACGACGACGACGACGACGACGAGCGCTCTCGTGGGCCTCTTCGGGGTAGTTTGGGGGCCTCTTGGGAAGCTCTGGGGGGCCGCTTGGAAGCCTCGTGGGGGCCTCTCTTGGGGGCTCTGGGCTCGAGCAGGTGTTGTTCAGTCTTTCGGCCTCGGGGTGCCGTGCTCGGGCCTCGGGATCGTGGAAGGACCGATCCGGGGTGTGCGATGTCCGTCGCAGCGGCGACCAGCTCATGATATACGATCTCGGCTCGTGGAAGGACCGACCCGGGGTGTGCGATGTCCGTCGCAGCGGCGACCAGATCATGATATACGATCTCGGCCCGTGCCGCCCTCAGGGCTCCGGTGCTGCGTGCGGGGCGAGCCGCACTCCCAGTCGTGGTCGCCATCACGAACACGAGAATGCGCTACCGCTCTTTGCTCTCCTGCCGTCGCAAAAGAATCGGCACCAGATGGATCTCAGGAGGGGTCCAAGGACCGAGTCCGAGCGGGCCTGGCGCTCCCTGCGTGACCCGCGGCCGGCCCGTGGCACTCGGGGCTAGCCCTGGCCGGCGGCGGGTGCGAAGAAGAACTCCCCGTCCGCGCGCCTCCGCCTGCCCCGTCTCCTCGCCCATCTGCCCTCCCCTGAGCCGTCATCGTCGCGGCCCCTGGGCGGGCCTCCTGAGCCACGAGGCCTCGCCCGTCTCCACGCTTCCGCATCCTCCTCTCATCGCTGGCTGGTGGCGGGAGCGGCCATTGCCGTCCGTTGCGTCGCGAGGCACCCAGAGCCGAGAGCTGCGTTTGACGAAGGCGGGGCGGTCCCTGAGATCCGACGCTGCAAAACAGATGCAACATCGCCAAAAAATCACGACCGGAGCCCTGGACCACATCTTTCTGCATCGTTTTCGAGCCGGATCGATTTGTGAGGGTCCCGGGCCCCGAAATTGCGCGAAAACGCCGGCTATGAAAAAACTGCAACGCCAGAATCTCAGTGGTGGTATCAGCGGACCAGCACGGCGCAGCGCGCAGACCGTGCTAGACCCTTGCTCCGGGGGGGTCTCTGCTTCGGTTTCGGGAGAGAGGGCCTTATGGAGGCTTCTGGAGGCTTCTGGGGACCTCCAGAGGCCTGGGGAGATGCCTGGAGACCTTCTGGAGACTGAAGTAATCGGAAGCCGAGCAAGGGCTGCTAAATCCGTGGCTGCTAAAATCGACCTCTGGGAAGTTGTCTTCGTCCTTCCGGGAAGAAGCCCGTGGACTGTTTCGCGTGCCGCGCCTCATCCCAGGAAGTTGTGTTGTTTCCTTCCGGGAGGGCCGTTTTAGCAGCCACGGCTTTAGCAGCCCTCGCCCAGCTTCCCGAGCAAGGATTGCTTGTCCGTTCGGGAGGGGCTCTAGATCTAGTTTCCGGGTCGCTCCTTCGGCTTTCGTCGGGGAGCCTTCCCGTGGCCGAGGCCGGGCGCGCCGTGGCCCGCCCCTGTCGTCCTCTTGCTTGGCGCCCCCCCGTTGGCAGCGCGATGGCTGCAGCGGCTCTGTTGCGAGCGTCGCCTGCGGCAGCCTCTGCCTCGGTCGCCTTCGGGGGCGAGCCTCGGCCCGCGCTGGCTTGGCATCGCTCGGACGTGTGCATTTTTCCTTCGGCGAGGACCATCGAGGAGCATCCTTGATCATTAGAAAAAACAAAAAAAAAAAAAAGAAAAGACAAAAAAAAAAAAAAAACCGATAACAAAACAAAACAAAACGCACGGAACCACGCACGGAGCCGAAAAAAACACAGGGAATGGATGTCCGAGCGATGGCCAGCTGGCCGCAGCTAGCTCGCGCGGCCGCGGTCAGGGCGCGCCGGCCGGGGGAGGGGAGAGGGGCCGAGGCGGCGACTACAGCAACCTGGTCGGCAAGACTTTCCGCTTCACCATCAGCGGGCTCGGCGGCCTCGACTGCGGCTGCAACGCGAACTTCTACGCCGTGCGGGTGGGCGCCGGCTGCGACGGCTCCGGAAACAACGGCGGCCTCTGCGAGGATGAGCGGCCTCGTGGGCTGTGGCGGTGGAGGGGAGGAGGCGAGGAGAGGGAGGAGCCGAAGCCAAAAACACCGCACGGCTAGGGGAGGACCTGGAGCCAGCCTCATCCGCCGCCGCCAGCCGTCCCTCTTCACCATCCGCTCTGCCTGTCTCTCTCTCTCTCTCTCTCTCTCTCTCTCTCCCCTCCCTCCGTTTTCTGAGTCATCCTCCTCCTCCTTCTGCCTTGCCACTGCTTCCTCCGCCCGCCCTCACAACTCCCTTCCCCCATGCTCATCCTGATGTCGTCTTTTACACTTCTCTCTTCCCCCTTCCCTCTTCTTTCCTCTTCCTCCACTATTCCTTCCCGATCATGATCCTCGTCCGTCGTCCTTCTCTTCCTCCTCCCCCTCCCTTACAGCGGCGGTGTCCGAGCTAGAGACGTCGGAGAGACGGAGGGGATGGGACGACGACGAGGGAAAAGGCAAGGTGGCTGAGGAGGAGGAGGAGGTGTTGTTGGTGGTGAAATAGGTGGGAGGACAGGATGAGGAGTAAGGAGAGGAAACTGAGCTGGAGTGACGAGGAAGATGATGAGGAGAAGGATGGAGGGGAACAGGGGGAAGGAACCAGAAGGAAGGATGAGGAGGAGGGGGGAGTGAGGGAGGCGGAAGGAGTGGGGGAGGAGGAGGAAGGAGGAGGAGGAAGGAGTCGGAGGAGGGAAGGCCATGACGAACGAGCCACATCTCTTGGCTGGGCCCAGCTTCAAAGCGAGTGTGATCGCCCTTCGCGCCAGGGAGGAGCGGCATCCGTCCCGGCGGGGCAGCCGGATTTTCCGTGGCGTGGCGTCCAGCGCCCGAGAGGTGGTGCCGATCTCTTCGGCTGCAGGGCCTCCGAGATGGTTTGCGAACACCTTGGACGGCGCGGAGTGCTCCTCCTCCTCCTCCTCCTCCTCCTCCTCCTCCTCCTCCTCCTCCTCCTCCTCCTCCTCCTCCTCCTCCTCCTCCTCCCCCTCCTCCCCTCCCCCTCCTCCCCTCCTCCTCCTCCTCCTCCTCCTCCTCCTCCTCCTCCTCCTCCTCCTCCTCCTCCTCCCCCTCCTCCCCCTCCTCCCCCCCTTTTTCTCCATGAGTGCTCCGAGGCTCGCACGTGCGGCGCCCTCGATGAGGACCCGGGAGGGTGTGTGCCGAGCGCGCCGGCGCGGTGTTGCCCGAGCGGCGCTGTGATCGCAGGTGATGTTTGAAGCGCCCGGTGTTCGGACTCCCTCCTCCTAATAAGAAGAAGACGAAGAAGATGATGGTGATGAGGATGAGGATGAGGATGAGGATGAGGATGATGATGATGATGATGATGATGATGATGTTGATGATGATGATGATGATGATGATGATGATGATGATGGTGGTGATGATGTTGATGGTGATGATGATGATGATGATGCTGATGATGCTGCTGATGATGATGCTGCTGCTGATGATGCTGATGATGATGATGATGCTGATGCTGCTGTTGATGCTGCTGCTGATGATGATGGTGAAGATGCTGATGATGATGCTGATGATGCTGATGATGATGCTGCTGATGCTGCTGATGCTGATGATGATGATGATGATGAGGATGATGATGAGGATGCTGATGATGATGATGGTGGTGGTGATGATGATGCTGATGATGATGATGATGATGATGATGATGAACAAGACCGATACTAAGAAAATGGGTGCCGATACTCTTGACTCCTGCGGTCTCATGAGTCTGTTCCAGGGGGGGGCTGTTGGGCCTCCCCGTTTCCGCCTTTGCTGCTCCTCCTATTGGGGGTGCTTTTGTCGCTACGGCCTGGTCCGCCCCGGGATCCTGGCAAGAACGCGCTCCAGGAGAGGTCCAGGAAGCAGCGGCGTTGGTATCTTCCTGCCTCCCCTATCCACACTCGGCGGCGAGCGAGGGGGGAAGTGGGAATGAGAAGACCCTCTGAGAAGGCGGCGGGGATTCTCAGAAGCCCTCCGGCCTTCTGAGAAGTTTTCCGTGCCTTCGGAGAGGGCTTCGAAAACTTCTCAGAAGGTTGGGTGACGTCCGAGCCTTCTGAGGAAGCCCGCCCCTTCTCACTTCCCCCCAAGGCTCGCCGCCGACGCACTCCCACTCGCCCCAGGCCCTTCCCAAAGCTTCTGGCCACCACGGCCTCGGCTGCCGATGCTTGCCTCCCTCCCGTGCTCCCCTTCTCGAGCCCTGCCTCCTCCAGGAGATCGACTTCTTCGAGGGCAACAAGTTTGCCTGGCACTCCACGCTGCACACCCTCGCCGACAGCGGGGAGACGGACGCGAACGGCCTGTGCACCGGCTACGGCGGTACGCTCCCCACGAAGCCGAACTTCCCCTCCTTCGACGGGGAGGAGTACGGGCCCGCGGGCACCATGATCGACACGGAGAAGGACAGGCAAAGGGGGAGGAGGCGGAGGAGCCTTGACGCCAGGGCTCGACCTAGACGGTGTTCTGGCGATTTCGTGGGCCGTGTTCGTTTCGATTTCGTTTTGCAGCGGAGGCGCAATGAAGACAAAGCGGTGGAGAACGAAAACCATACGGAAATGAAAGTCACGGTTTAGGTCGATCCTTGTCTGACCTCATCTGACCCTTCGAAAATCACGACGGAAAGTTGTTGTTCATGTTCAGCGTCCAGAGGCCCTCACATTGCCCCAGGCCTGTCGGTCAGGATGCAAAACCGGCCCCAGGGAAGGGGTCCAGACCTCCCGGGGGCCACGTTGTGCAAAAGTCGTGAGGTCCGATGTCTGGGAGGAGGCGGGGGAGGCTGAGGAGCATCAGGAGCGCTGCTCCTGGCATTGGCTGGCCAGCCCCGCGGAACTTCCCAACGGAGTCTGCGGGCCTGTGCGCCCCATCTCCACGAGAGGACTCCCTGGTAAGAGGACACTTCCTCCGTCAGACTGCTTGCGATTTCTCGGGGGCGGCCAAGAGGGGGGTGGTGACGAGGGGGGGGGGATATCATGGCGGGGGCCATGATATCTTCCCAGATTTCACGGCGACTCTTCTTATTTCAGTGCGTCCCCCCTCCCCATGTGCCGCGCACATGCCGCCGGCCATGATTTGCGCGCCCCCCCTCTTGGACACCCCCCTCTTGGCCGCCCCCGAACTTCTCCGGACGCCCAGGCCATCTCAGCCCGGCTCTCTGCATGCCCCCCTTGGGGGGGGGGGGGGCGCGCAGGGAAAAGCGCGCCTCGCGGCCTGGGCATGAGAGAACGGCGCAGGAGGGGCCAAGCGAAAGGACCCTGGGTCTGGAGGCTGGTTTTGTTGGGCAATTTGAAAATTTCAAAGATTTATATATATATATATATATATATATACACATATATATATATATATATACATATATATATATATAACAAATTTAAAAAAGGGCGCGCAAGTCAGGGGCGGCCTGACGGACCCCTGGCAAAGCACCCGCTTCCGTGCCGCCCCCCTCGTCCCACCCCAGGACGTGCGCATGTGCGGCCGGAGGGGGGCCTGGAGGGCGAGGGCGGCGTCACAGAAGGTGCTCGCCGCGGAAGAGGTCCTGGCATCGCTCGGACGTGTGCATTTTTTCTCGGCAAGAACCATCAAGGATCATCATGGACCATCGAGCAAGAAAAGCACGCGCGAAGCCGAAACATGCACGGGAAATGGATACGTCCGAGCGACGGCAAGAGGTCGGTTCGGCCGCGCCCTGGGTCGGGCGGCAATGGGGGGGGGCTCGCAAAGGGGGGGGGGTGACGAGCAAGGCCCAAGGATTGCAAAAAAACCCAGGATTGCAACGAAGGATTGCAAAAAAAAAACACCTTCGTGCAATCCTTTGTGCAACGAAAGGTTTTTTTGCCATCCTTCGTTCAAGAGGGGCCCCCGTCGTAGGGCCCCGTTTGGAGCTGGCAGGGGCCCGGAAGGGCCCCCGCAGGGGCCTGCGCTCCACCCCCCGCTCCGGCCGCTCCCTGTGGCCCCCCCGTGGTCTGGGGAGGACAGGCTACCCCGACACCGACAGTGGGCGTTTGCACGAAGGATTGCACGAAGGATTGCAAAAAAAAACCCTTGAACGAAGGATTGCAAAAAACCCGAACGAAGGGTTTTTTTTGCAATCCTTTGTTTTTGCAATCCTTTGGTTTTTTTTGCAGTCCGACGGCCCCGGGCGTTGGGTAGACAGCCCTGCCCTGGTCGGTTCCTGTGTTGGGTGCGTTTGCGAAGCGCCCTTGCCTGTCTGGGTGCTTGTTAGTAGGGTGGATGTCCTGTTCCCCCCTATTGCACGCGGGTCGTTGAAAGTGGGTGTTTTTGGGATTCCCAAGCTCCAATCTGTTGCATTTAGGCTCCATCCTACTTAAGTGATCGAGTGGTTTCAGCTTTTCCTTCCTCTTCAGGGAGCGGGCGGAAACCCAATCTGCTTCCAGCGCCTTCCCGCTTCATGTCTTTACCTATTCCAGATTTCGTAATAAAGGGAGGGGGGTCTCATTTCGGGGGGGGTCTCTTCCAGGCTATCTTGGAGGGCCTGGGGGGTCTGGGGACGATGTTCTGGCGGGTTCTCCCAGGGGGGGGGTCTGAAATGGCTCGTCTTGGAGGGTCCAGGCCCCCTCCCATTTATAACGAAATCTGGAGTAAGTGATCGAGTGGTTTCACCTTTCCCTTCCTCTTCAGGGAGCGGGCGGAAACCCAGACCTCTTCCAGCGCCAGCGCCTTCCCGCTTCATGTCTCTACCTAGCGCCTTTTCCTTTCCCTCTTCCTTTTCCTCTTCTCCAGCGCCTTTTCCTTCTTGCTTCAGCTTTCCCTTCCCTCTTCCTTTTCCTTTCCTCCTCCAGCGCCTTCCCGCTTCATGTCTCTACCTAGACCTGTTCCGGCCAGCGGGCACCACCCGCCCGACCCGGGGGTTGCTGCACGTGCCCCTGGCCCACAGGTGCCCCCAGCTCCTCGCTCCGTGCTCAGGCAGTGCCAAGGGGGGTCACCACTGGGGGGGTCGCCAGCTCCTCCTGGAAATCGAGGTCCCAGGATGGAGAGTCGAGGGGTCGAGGATGTTCTTGGACGTTTCTTGGCGTTTTCGGGGCTCTGGGGGGCCCAGTTCCTCGAGGAAGTCTCGAGGAAGTGGCGCTTCCTCGAGGAAGTGGCGACCCCCCTAGTGGTGACCCCCCTTCGCACTGCCCCACGTGCTGGAGCCCCGGGGGCCCTCCGGACCTCGCGAGGGGCGCTCCTTGGAGGCCGCGGGGGCCCCCTCGGAGAATCCCAGGCGGGCACCTGGGGCCAGATTCCCTGACCTTCCAGAGTGCTAAAAAATAGCCCTCCAGACCTATAGACCTATCTGGGCTGCCTAAAACCTCGACAGGAATTAAGATATCGAGGTCCTGGTGCTATTTTTTAGCCCTCCTGAAAAGTCAGGATTCGCGGGCCCCGGCAACGGCAGGGCCGTTTTTCACGGTTTCCGGAAAAAGTGCCCCTTGAAAACGGAACCGGCAACAAAAACGGCGACCGGAAACGGCAACAAAAGCGGCTCCAGGATTGGAGCCGGAGCAGGAGCCCGCAAAAGAACGGGGACGGAACCCGTCAAAAAACGGCGTCGGAGAACCGGCAAGAACACGGCAAAACGGAACCGGCAACAAAAACGGCCCTGTCGCTTCCAGGGCCCACTAAGTCCTGGGAGAATCCCAGGCGGGCACCTGGGGCCAGGGTGAAGTCGGGCGTGTCCCTCTACAGGGGGCGCATTCAAAAATAGTTCAAAAATAGTCTGGGGACGATTTTTTTATTATCGTTGAGCATATGGGCGGTATTTTCTGAGTATTTTCTATTTTTCCCGCGCTCGCGCGGTCTCGGGCCGCGGCCGTCCCGCGGGGCTCGGGCGCGCGCGCCCGGGGACGGGGCCCACGAGAGCGGCGAGGGGGCACGGAGAGAGAGAGGCAGAGGCAGGATGTGTGGCGTCTTCTTTTGTCCCGGTTTGTGTTCCGTCTTCGGTTGTGTCGGGCCTGTCCCCCATACAGGGGGATGTTCGACGACCTATTTTTTGATAAAAAAAGTGTTTAAAACAAATCCAAAAATAGTCCAAAATTGGTCTGAGGATTATTTTTCATATGTTTTGACCTTTATGGAGCATGTTCTGGGTATTTGTTTATTCTTCATCGAAAATCCCCCTGTAGGGGGACACGCCCGACTTAAGTCTTCGGTTTTTGTTCCCATGTCTTCGGTGTCTGCTCTGCCTTCCGTTTCCAGGCGGGGGGGGCACGATTTGTCCGCCCCCCTTCTGCGCAGTGACCCAGCAATGGGGATCAGCGAGCATCCAGTACAGGGGGTCGTCTCCCTAAGGGCTTGACGACTTTTCGCCCATCGACTTGCAGGGCTCGAGCCAGATAGAAAGCCAGGCAGATGCAGATACATCGAGGTGCGTCCAGGCAAATCCGGGCAAATCCAGGAGAATCCAGAGATCTCCAAGAAAATGTTGGGCAAATCGTGGCCGCTCCAGCGCGAGTCGAGGAACGGCAGATGTCGTTAAGCCCTGAACGGTCGTCTGCGCCGACAATGGCGCGCAAGTCGCCCGCGTAAGCTCGCACGTAAGCGCCCTCGTCTCCACTGCAGCGTGCCGCGCTGGCGGCCCGCGTTGGCCGCGGTATAAGGTCGCTGTGTCACCTCGCGTAAGACCCGTTTCTGCTCGTAGCTCACAAGGCTTCCCAGCGCCCTGAGAGCTGCCGATGCCGATAGGCTCCTTTTCGCGCGCGCGCGTCCCTGAGATACTGGCGTGGCAATTTGTTCACAACGGACGTTTTCGCTCGATTCCGGGCCCTGGGACCCTCACATATCGATCTGGCTCAGCAAATGGCGAAGAAAGAGGGGGTCTGGGGCTCCCGTCTTGATTTTGCGTGGTGTTGCTATGTTCTGCAACGTCGGATCTCGGGAAACACGGGCTGTTTTTTGCACGGCTCGTCCGAGTCTGCCTTGGGCAGCGTCTCCAGGCGGAGGGGCCTAGGGTGGGGTGGGGGGGAGGGGCGAGGCTCAGCTCAGGGACGGGTAGGGGGCAGGAGAGGGGCGGGGGAGGGAGGAGGAGGAGGAGGAGGAGGAAGAGGAGGAGGAGGAGCGGCAGAAGAGGGGCGGGGGAGGTTGAAGGAGGAGGAGGAGGAGGAGGAGGGGCGTCTCACAGTATGGGTTGGTGCGCCTGTCCACACAATCCGGGCGGCTTTCAACACGTCGGAAAGAGAGAGAGAGAGAGAGAGAGAGAGAAAGCCTTACGCCCCCCCCGTCTGGGGGCCGTCCTGGGGTCCTGCCGGGGCCTGCTTGGGCCGTCTTGGGCCAGAGTTTGTGGCATTTTGGGCCGTCCAGGACGGTCTGAAGACCGAAAAGACGAGAATCGGGCAAGCATTGGAAAATGCCGGAGGGCCGGCAAGACGTCCAAAGAGCCCCAAGAGGGCCTC